TATGTCAGAGGGAGGGAGGGAGAAGGCTTACTCTGGTACTCTCTTTAGGTTCTAGCATTCACAGCTTTCCCTTAGAGCCAAAATGGTAAGGGCTAAACGCACAAAGGGAGGAATGGTATGATGAAAAAACAGTAGCAGGTAAACGAGCATCTGGAGAAATAACCCTAGACATAATAGTTTAAAAGAAAGACATTCTGAAGAGACTGGTGTGGGAGTTCATAATCTGATTCTGTCACTGACTCTGACACTAATTTTGTGTTCTTAGGCAGGCTGCTCAGTGTCTGTTTTCTCATTTGTCAGATTTCCAAGTCTTCTGGTATCTCTGGGATATTCTCTGAATGCACACTAGTTGTGTGATCCTGGACAAGTTGCTTAACCTCTCTGAGACAGGTTTTGTCATTTGTAAAGTGTGAACACTAATAGCTACTTTATAGTATTGTGGTGAATGGGTGTTTGGAAAGCACTTATCACAGACCTGTCCTGTACTAAGTATCCAATAAATGATAGCTATTTTCATTGCATGCTGAGTGTTATGTAATAAGAAAATAATTATGTCATCCCATACTATTTATAGAAAGAACTCTGTCTTCTCAAAGTGGTTTCAAAGTTCAATCTGCAGCTGGGACAAATGCCAGGAGGTGTAGTACAAAGTCTCCACTCACTGCTGACCTCCCTTTCCAGCTTTTTCTTCCCCAGAGCTCTGCTGCTGTCCAGATATGGGCTAAAGATTCGTGCTCCTGCGGAGCACATCTCAGTCGGATGCACAGATGGTCGAGGGGAAGCAATGGCAAACCTCACTCCAAGTACAAAGTGAGACTGGGTATCATGAGTGTAACAGGGAGATCAGGTCATATGAATCGTCAGTAGTAGGGGTGCTATGAAGAAAGAGATGACGTACTTTCAAGTTGGGATTCATGAGCGTGGAGGTGGGAGGGAGAAGCTGTGGGTGTCGCTGAAGTTTTGCTGGTGTTCTTGCTTGGATAAAGTGCCTTTTTCTGGAAAGCCTGGAGGCTGGATTCTGGTTTTTGTTTTGTTTTGTTTTTTTTCTCCCTAGTGTGGTATGCCTACTACTTGTGGCATGCACAGTTATTTGGCGGGTGTAGAGATGAATATTTAAAATCTTAAAAGTTACGTATTAATTTTAGAGAATATCAGAGAAACACAACCAACAGTTAGTTCTGTGATTTCATAGATGTGGTTTTTTAGGACTTAAAGGAGAATGCAGGATTTAAGTTCATCTTAGAAAGACGGGTCAACTCAACAATTTAGAGATGACTTGCAGATGGCAGGTATGGTGCAGGTAGAGTTGCAGGATATCAAAAGTGGGAGGCAGATTAGCTTCCCAAAGATGCCCATCCCTGCATCTCCAGAATTTGTATGTTATCTTGTAATGCTAAAGGGATTTTGGAGGTATGAGTAAGTGAAGCATTTTGTGTTGAATTGATTATCCTAGATCAGTGGAGGTGAACCTACGGCACGCACGCCACAGCTGGCTGTTTATTATCATTGAAAGCTCTCAGAGCTTTGCCATCACTGTCCTAAATTATATAGCTGGGCTCAATGTGGTCAAAAGTTTCCTACAGGAGTGAGGCAGGAGGATCAGGGTAAGAGACAGCAGGGTTAAGATGGGAGCAGCTATTGGAGAGGCAAGTGGCTTCTAGAAGCTGGGAGAGGCAAGGAACTGATTCTTCCCTGGAGCCTTCATAAGGTGCCAATCCTGCCCACACCTTGATTTTGGCTTTGTAAGGCTTGCTTTGGATTTCTAATCTCCAGAATAAATGTATGGTTTCAAACCACTAAGTTTGTGGTAAGGTGTCAGGGCAGCCACAGGAAGTGAATTCTCTGGACACTAGGTGTGCCTGAAGTGGTACATTCTCCAAGTTCAGCAGTTCTTCAGGGCAGAGACGAGCGCACTGGCACAAATAAGACTCTCTTTGGTCACCTAGGAGGGGCTGAGCCTGCTGTCATGCTTGGTGGACTGGCCAAAGGGAGGCAGGAGGACTCCTGGCTGGGTGATAGGATAGGAGGGGCTCTGACTCACGGGCACTGTCAACAGTTGCCATCTGGTTCAACCTGCTCCTTTCATAGATGAAGAAACTGAAGCTCAGAGGTGGGAAGTAACTTGAGCAAAATCAGCAGTGATGGGTCTGATCTGACCAAGATGAATGAACAGCTGCATTGCTGAGCAGGGGTAGGGAGTAGCCCCTGGCAGAGGCCAGCCTGGCTTCTCACATGGGGTGGGGGAGCTCTGCACAGGGGCGGGGCCTGCCCCTTCAGCTGGAGGTGGAGGGTGGATCTTGCCATCCTTTGATCACCTTCGCTGTGTGTCTGGGTCTGGCTCTCACGCTGCTCCCTCTATCTTTTTATCAGGATTTTAATAACCATCCTGTTAACACATGTGGTTTAGAGAGTTGTGGAAAAAGCAAAATGCTTGGAGAAAGGGCTCCCCTACTCTCCTCTAATCCTGTGCCCAGTACCTATCCAGGGTCTTTCCTGTGCCTGCCCTGCTCCACTCCAGAAGGACACTTCTTTTCTTTTTAGGGAAGGGACATTCTACTGTGATTAACATGAAACTTGTGATGTCTCATTTCTACCACTCACCACTTATGAGTTGAAATTGACCTCCATGGTTATGAATGCTGAATAAAGGCCAGTCTCCTAATTTTGAGCAGAAAATATTTTCTATGTAAAGGCCTTCGGGCCCTCTTGTAATTTTCAGAGTAGACATCAACACTCAAGTTGCACCATATAGGAATTGACAAAAAACTAGTGCGAAATTCCTTCTAGGATCCTAGAATGTCATTTATCCTACTAAATTATATTTATAAATTTATTGTTCCCCTTGTATTAACACAGTGGTCACCAGACAAGTGACCCAAAGAGAAGCAATCTTTACATTCTGGATTAGCTGTAATGGACATCCAGGTCATTTTACCATTCAATGCCCCAGATAGCATCGTGTTGTCAGTTAGTAGGTGTGGAAAAATCTGAAGTTGAAAAGATTGTAAGGTAGAAATGCCACCTTGGGCCAATTAGGAAGTCATCAGAAAAGTAATGGATTTTTATGATCCAAGCCACAGACTCAGAAATCTTCCCATTAAAACTTCACTGACTAACACAGGAACCCAGGACTTAGATCTCTGCTGGAGCCACTTGGCTCAAACACTGGCTTATTATTTTAATTTTATTTATTTATCTTTTGGAGCAGGGTCTTGCTGTGTAGTTCTGGCTGGCCTTGAACTCATGACAGTCCTCCTGCCTCAGCCTCCCAAATGCTGGGATTACAGGTGTGTGCCACCACATCTAACAGAGGCTGGATTTTTAAAAAGGAGATAAATCTGTAGGTTTAGGAAACAGTTTTGCTTTGTTAAGTTTGGATGCATCCTAATTTTTAAAACAAAAAAATTATACATCAAATACATTTTTGGTCAAAGTGTAAAAAAAGTAAAAGAAGGACAGAGAGGGAGAGAGTGAGAGAATGAGAGAGAGATACAGAGGGGGAAAATAGACTGGCTTATGATCTCATCTCCCAGAAATGACCACTGTTAACATCATTTCAGTGTCTATTTCCAGATTTTTCCAAATATATAACATATGTATGTTTTCTATTTTACAAAAATAGGATCCTATATATATTAACTGCTTTATTAATTTAACTGCATATTGTGAACATTTTTTTATTGGGAATATTTTCATTGTTAATATTCTTCTGTAACATTACTGTTGCCAATCACATACTATTATATTGTGGCTATCACATGATTCCAGTTTATTGATAGATACTTTAGGTTGTTTCTGATTTTTTTTTTCTTTTGCTAAAAATGCTTTGAGGAACATCCCATTAGGTAAACATTTGCACATAACCATTATACCTTTCTTCAAATTCCTATCAGTGGTGTGCTGGATCACAGAGGTTGTGATTTTAAAGTTTTTGATACTCTGTTAGTCAGCTTTCCAATATTGTAACAAATACCTGAGATAATCAACTCATTATGAGAAACAGTTTATTTCAGCTCATGTGTTTGGAGGGTTCAGTCCATGATACGGCATATCTATTATTTTTAGGTCTCTGGTTGCGGGGTGGGTAGTACATCATGGCAGGCAAAAGTGCATGGTATGGCAAACTGTTCACTTCATGGCTTCAACCAAGAGGGAAAAAAGGAGAAAAAGGAAAAAGGACCCAGAGACCAGGGTCCCAAAGTCCCCTTCAAGGGCACATGCCCAGTGATCTAAGATGTCCCATGAGGCTCTGTGATTTAAAGGTTCTATGACCTCCCAGTAGCACCACAGTTCTTTCCTGTACCAGCCTTTGGGAGAGATTCTCCATCTAAACTTTAGCACTACCAATGACATGGCCTCTCAGCACCCTACATGTGAGTTCCATGCTCTTGTCTATTTTGTAGCCTCATGTTTTCAAATCTTGTAAATGTGTTGTATGTATTATAGAATACTTCTTTGCTCTTCTACTTTGAATATATTTGATTAGGATCAAGGTGGAATGTCGCTCTTAGGTTTGTTACCCACCTGTGTTTTTGGTTAATTACTTCTTGTGCAATTTTATTTTATTTTATTTATTTATTTATTTTTTGGTTTTTTGAGATAGGGTCTCACTATGTAGTTGAGACTGACCTGGAACTCACTATGTAGCCCAGGCTGGTCTTGAACTCACAGCGATTCTCCTGCCTCAGCCTCCGGAGTGCTGGGATTACAGGCGTGCGCCACCACACCCGGCTCTTGTGCAATTTTAAATGGGAGATTCTTTATTAGAGTTCTAAATCATGAAAATCATTTGCTGAAAGAATGACAAAGGAGCAAGCAAGAATAGCAAAGGAGATCAGTGAAAATGATTTGTAACTTAAAAACATTCACTGAAAGTTTTTTATTCATTCAACAAAGGTTAAGTACCTACTACCTGCCAGATGTTGTGGGTAGAGATAAGTAAGTCATGGGTGCTACCACTTTAAATACAAAATATTAAAAAGACTTAATTTTTTCTCAGTGTTTATTATTGCATGCCATATTCAAGTTTCTGTGTCTGCTGTCTATCTTCTTTCTTTCCTTTTGTTGTTAGAAAACCTCCAGGAAGGAAGGGATTTGGCGTTTTTAAAAATTGCTTTATCCCTGAGGCTAAGAACAGTGCTAGGCACTCATAAATATTTGTTGAGTGGTTGAATACATGATCTTTTGGTCTTGGTAACTTTGACTCATTGGCTTTCCCTGGATGGGAATTAAGCTGAAATTGTCTGATACAATCAGCTCAGGCTGGTGAGAGGCACTCCATTTCTTTTCAGCCCTTCATTTCCTCAATGTGGTTTGGGAGCAGGTACACCCAGAGCCACCTTGTCTGTGTAAAGGTATGTGAGCAGGTGTCATTTTTCTCCAGGGATAGTCATCCTGTTTATATAGGTGTGATGTCAACAACTCTTGGGGTTGCCGGGTGTTAACCAAATTGGCAATGAACAGTGTCATGCTAACTTTTGCTGGGGCGGCAGCTGCCACTCTGGGGTGTGGGCAGTGACCATCAAGGAACCGGGTGGGAGCCAAGACTGACAGTGAAGACAAGTTGGGGATGAGGCTCCGAAGCCAGAAAGAGCAGGAGGTTCCGGGTCTGGAGGAGGTCCGCATGTCAGGTAGGCTGCAGAAGAAGTCGGGACGAGCTCCAGGGGATTCGTGAGCATATATATGGCAGGATATCAGGTTCTATCAATAGAGGGTAAAGGCAGAACAGAGACTCTTATGACCTCAGTTTACCCCTGGATAAGGGCAAGAGCTCTTTCCTTCCTGGTACCAGGGATCAGGGCAGGACCTTGATAGGAGACCTTAAGTTACCTTTTCTTTTTTTCTCACCTCTTAAGAGTCCCCTTTCAGCAAGCTACACTGGAGGTCTGCAAAGGGTGGCAAGGGGCCCAAGGACTGCAGCAGGTAGCATTCTCAGGCAGACACAGTGGAAAGGGCAGGAAGGGAGGGTGGTTCCTGGAACCTAAAACACCACAAAGCAAATTTATCCCCACCAATCTCCTGCCCTTTTGTTGATTAGCAGCCTAATGGAATTTGAAACTGAAGGGGCAAATTCTGATGGAAGAGCTGAGTTTGGGAGCCTGAACTGTTTTGGGTAGTTGGTAGATGCCATTTACTCAATAAGATATTGAGAATACAACAAAGACAAGAGATGCGATTTTCTTTCCCTTCAAGGTGTTATAGAAATACCCTAGGCGGGGCTGTTCAGTATGCCTGAGCATCAGTGATCAACCAGAAGTGGGCATTTTTCCCCCCAGTACCAGGATTTAAACTCAGGACCCATGCTTGCCAGGCAGGTACGGTGCCACTGAGCTACATCCCTAGCTCAGAAGTGGGCTTTTTTTTTTGGTACCGGGGACCAAACTCAGGACCTTGTGCCTATGAGACAGGCGGCAGGAACACTAAGCTAAATGCCCGGCCCTTGAAAGTGGGCATTTCTGAATCAAACATGAACTGGTTGCTATTCCAAACTGGAAGGGCGGGGTGCATGCCTGTAATCCTAGCACTCTGGGAGACCAAGGGGGAGAATCTCAAGTTTGAGCCTAGCCCTGGCAATTTAGTCACATAGTGGGACACTGAATCAAAATAAAAAAATAAAAAGAGTCTAGGGATATAGCTCAGCGCAAAGTTGCTGAGTTCAATCTCTGGTATTGAAAACAAACAAACAAACAAACCCACAAAAATTTAGGAAGGGGGAATTTATCATTTAGGTGAAGGTTCTGGTATTGTATAGATCATCCAGCTAGTCATTCATCCAACCAACATTTATTGAATTCATACCCTCTGCCAGGCACTATATTGAAATAGCAAAATATATTTCTCTTTTTAAGTCATTCTCTCTCTCTCTCTCTGTCTCTCTCTCTCTCTCTGTCTCTCTCTCCCTCTCTCTCTCTCTCTCTCTCTCTGT